AATAATAATAATAATCTTGAATCCCTAAGTTCAATCTGCAGCACCAAAAAGAAAAAAGAGGGGTCTGGGAAGGGATGTGAGGCTATTTAGGCAGAGGGGAACCTTGATAACTCAAAGAGGGCTATCACTGTCACACATGAGCATTCAGCAGAAGAGCCGATGAATTTCAGCTATAGCAAGAAGAATGAAGAGGTAGGCAGGACCACACTGGGCCTTTAGTGTCTGCCATGCCTAGAGTTTGGAGTTGACCAGGGTACACTAGAAAGCTGTTAACAGTGTCTTAGCAAGCAGCAGCAGGATCAGATTTGTGGGGTCCCTCCAGCAGCCGGCATAAAGACAGGTAGATACAGAGGTATCACAACAGCATTTGGACATTTGTCAAAGCTGGACTGATTCTTCCAGCTCCTCTGGCTCAGTCCCAGTCCCTGCCCAAACCCGGTGCACATCTCCCCATCCCTAGGGCCATCGGCTTCCCCTGTGGTATCCTCTTCTTCGTCCTCACCAAGCAGGAAGTGGACAAGAACCGTTTGAAGCAGATGAAGGCTCGGCAGAACATGCGGGTGTCCAACACGGGCGAGTATGAGAGCCAGAGGTTCAGGGCTTCCTCCCAGCAAGCCCAGGTCCCTGAAGTTGGGTCTGGGGTACAGAACTGAGTGAGGACCACTGCAGCCTTGCACTAGACTGTTGACTGGAGTCCTGTGTGGCTAATTGTGGTCATTTCCCCAGCGGCCCACCAGAGGGCGCATGATGCTCAAGCTGCCCCAAGCGCCCACCTCTTCCGCACAGAGGAACCAGCCAAAGGCAAATAAAGTTATTAAGTACTGGCATGGAAAGAAAGCAGGGCTGAATTTTTAAGCCCCAGGGAGGGGAGGGGCAGAGTGGGGCTGGCTGTTCATCCCTGTTCCCTCACAGAAGACCTGTGTTCCCAGCTGGGTGGTGAAGTAACCACAGACTCAAGTGCAACATGCCTAGGTATAGACCTTGGAGACCCAAGTCTTCAGAGCCACTGGTCAGGAAGTCAGGTTCCCATGTAGCCTTAAACCAGTTAAAATCAGTCAGGCATGGACATCTTTAATCTCAACACTCAGGAAGCAGAGGCAGGTGTATCTCTGAGTTTGAAGCCAGGGTTCCAATATAGCCAGAGGAACATAGTAAGAGCCCCTGTCTCAAAAAAAAAAAAAAAAAAAAA